CCCGTTGGTTTCCAGGGTGCCGGGCAGTCGAAAAGTTGACCTCCACCTGCAGTAAGCTCATGAGCTTCCTCCAGAACCTGGAAGTAAATTGTTTTCCTCGGTCTGAGACCACCCTCAATGGCACCCCGTGCAACCTAAAAATGTGTTCTACAAATAACTTTGCTGTCTCTTCCGCCGTGACTGCATGCGAGCAAGCTACAAAGTGGCACATCTTTGTTAGTAGGTCTACCACCACCATGATGGCTGTTTTCCCTTTGGACTTCGGCAGATCAGTCATAAAATCTATCGACACTGCCTCCCAAGGTCGTTCTGGTGTTGGTAAGGGTTCTAATAGCCCCGCCGGCGCCCGCCTTTCCCCTTGGCTCGCTGGCACTGCTCGCACCCTCTTACATACTCACGTACATCCTCCTCACCTTAGGCCACCAAAATTCCCTGGTGACCAACCACATGGTTTTGTGTTGCCCAAAATGCCCGCCGTGGGGCTGTCATGCAACTGCTTGAGTACCCTCCCCTTAAGTCTCCTTCAGGGATATACAGTGCCCCTTTGTAATACAAAGCTCCATTTCTTTCCTCGAAACCCCTTGATTCCTCTCCCTCATCCCTAAGACCTCTAAGCTTATTCTGGGCGTATTCATCATTCTCTGTTTCTTCTACCAGTTCTCTTTGTCCCACCAATGCCGCCCCACACACCCAGCGGTCCTCTGGAATGACATGTCTCTCTTCGGGTGCTCCTCCCCTCCAAATATTCAGGTTTGCGTGAGAGAGCGTCCGCCCTAATATTCTCTGGGCCTGGCACGTAACAAATCTCAAAGTTAAATTTGGAGAATTCCTGAGCCCATCTCACTTGCCGTTGGTTGAGCACTCGTGCCGTCCTCCAATACTCTAGGTTCTTGTGGTCAGTGCACACTTGCACCTTATGTTGTGCGCCAATTAGCAGGTGCCTCCATCTCCGGAACGCCTCATGAATGGCTAGTAGTTCTCGGTCATACACCGTGTAGTTCCTCTCGGATTTGTTCAGCTTCGCAAAAAAGCACACGGTCTCCACTCTGACTCCTCCTTCCCTGGCTGGAGAAGCACCGCCCCAACCGCTCTGTCTGATGCATCAGTTTCCACTCTCATCGGTTTTTGTAAATCCACATGCAGGAGCTGTTGTTCCGAGGCGAAGGCCCTTTTAGTTCCTCAAATGCTTGCTCCGCCTCCTCCGTCCAAACGAACTTCTTCTTACTGCTGAGACAGTCCGTAATGGGCGCCGTCAGGTGGGCAAAGTTTGGGATGAACTTACGATAGAAGTTCCCAAACCCTAAAAACCTCTGCACATCCTTCCTTGTTTTGGGTGTTTTCCATTCCAGTACCGCCTGGACCTTGCCGGGATCCATGGCCAACCCCTTGTCAGACAGGCGATACCCCAGGAATTCCACCTCCTTGGTATGAAACTGACACTTCTCCAGTTTCACCCACAGCTGGTTGGCTTGCAGCCTGCTCAACACTTCTCTGACGTCTCTCACATGCTGCTCCTCATTCTCAGAATACACCAACACGTCGTCTAAGCAGGCCACACACTTCTTGTAAAGCAACGGCCCCAGGACGTGGTTCATAAACGATTGAAATGTTGCGGAGCCTGCTTGTAGACCGAAGGGCATAACTAAGTATTCAAATGCCCCTAAAGGGGTGAACATGGTGGTTTTCCATTCATCCCCTTCCTTATTCGTATCAGGTTGTACGCCCCTTAGATCCAGCTTGGTGAAAATCTTTCCCTTTCGCACCCTTGTCAAAATGTCGTCAATCCTGGGCATCGGGAAGGCCACTGGTTCTGACACTGCATTTAAGGCCCTGAAGTCACACACCAGTCTCGGCTTGTTCGTGTTTTTTGTGGACAAAAAAAACACTGGGCTGCCCCCCACCGCCCTGGACTCTCTGATGAACCCTCTCTTCAGGTTCTTGTCAATGAACTCTCTTAGCTCCTGCATCTCTCTGTCTGACATGGCGTACAGCTTGCCCACAGGGAGCTGTGCCCCAGGGAGCAAATTGATTTGACAGTCAAAGGCTCTATGCGGTGGTAGTTGGTCAGCTTCCCTTTCGCTGAAGACGTCGCGGAGATCTGCGTATTGTCGTGGTACCTTCACGTTCTCCTTCACTTCAGTCCCTGCTAGGGTGGCTTGGGCCCCTGCCAAAACCTTCCCTCTTTGCAATGTTCTAAGCAATGTGCTGACCCAAAAGAAACCACTCTCTGATGCCAGCCCACCAGCGGATCATGTAACGCTAGCCAGCTCATCCCCAATATAATGGGAGCTCCTCCCAAGGTGGCCACATTAAAAGCTATCAGTTCAGTGTGCCTTGCCACCTTCATTATCATTGGGACGGTCTGCAAGCTGACTTCTCCTCCCAACAGCTCCCTGCCATCGATCGTGGTTACCTGCAGGGGGTTGCTTAAAGGGAGCGTCTGTATCTGGTGTTCAGCTGCAAACTCTTTGCTCATGAAATTGCAGGAGCTGCCTGAGTCCAACAGCGCCTTTATCTTTAGAGGGTGTCCGTTTGGGAGCTCTAGTGTCACTTCTATCACTAGGTACGGAAGAGGAGCTTCTGGAGTGGGCACTTTCACTGCTCTTTGGCCTGGCTGCTGTGCCCCGACAATGGCAGCCAGGCGTTGGCTTTTAGTTGCTCCGGTATTTTTTCCTCTCTTCCCTCCACAGCTCCCACCATCCCTTGCCATTCCTTCCTCTGGGGGCAGACTCTGGCAAAGTGCCCTGACTGTCGGAATGCTGTGATGGGATTATGAGCTGCTTGTGCGTAAAATCGTATTCCCTCAGAGTTTGTTCAAGTCCACAAACCTCTGTCTGTGACTGAGCCCCTCTGACATGGCTCCTCTTAGTCACTAGAAGATTCCGACAGTGGTTGCTTCGTAATCGCTTCCAACATAAAAGCTCCTTAACGGAAACACGTCTTCTGGACTCTCTGCGTGACAGTTTCCGGCGAGGAGTGGGTGTCGCTACAGGAGGTCCGGAAACCTCACCACTGTTTTCGCTGGAAGTATCTCTGAGCCATCCCCCCAGCTCCCTTTCCCTCAGTTCAGCTTCTCTCCCCCTGCTGGTTTCCTCTTCAGCTGCTAAGTCTCTTCCAACCTGTCTGAGCCCTTTCACCTCCCTCAGTTCCCTGACATCATCATTATTACCACCACCATATTTTATTATGGTGCCATTACCTGCCATTCGCCCTAAGGTCCCAGGGAAAATTACAACATTAAAGCACAATATTAAAAACAGTTTAAAACAACGGGCAATCATTAAAACACAGTGGGTCCTAAAAATATACACAACAGCTTTCTATGTTCCTTTTAAAAAGCCTTGGGGATACTTTAGCTTCTTGCTTTTTTCTCCCATGCAGATGGCGATGTTGCTGAAGCTCCAGGAAGCAGCCAACTATATTGAGTCTCCCGACCGAGAAACCCTGGACCCCAATGTGCAGTCGACACTCTAAAGGTGACTGGATCAGGATGGGACGGAGACTGGAGTGAGCTGGTCTCGGCTGCCTTCGCTCCTCGTTCTTCTTTGTTTTCTTTTGTATCTGGAACCTGTGGTTTGGAACAGAACACCACAGATGGACGATGGAGGAGGCCGCTTGACCCTCCGCTGCAAGATACTGCTCCCCCACCCCCCAATGAGTTTGGTGGTAGGAGAATGATGATTTTTATTCTTAGGCTTTTTGCCTCTATCATAAACTCCTGGGCTTTGCAGTATGGCTGGGTGGGTGGCGGTGGTGGGACATTACTAAATCCCTCGGATCCAGGGTTCCCAGCATTGGAGTTCCTGTATAGGGTAAAGACTCGAGACCTTGTGGAACTGGCCACTGCATTGTTTGCAGGGCAATGCCAGCAGGCAGGGCAACAGACAAGTTTGTGGTTCCCTAACATGAGGATCTTTTTATAAAAAAAAAGTAAAGAAAAGCAAAAACCCAGAAAGGAACCTGGAAGTATCTGAGTAGAAGAGTCGCCGCTGCAGCAATCCAGCTGTTGCCGTAACTGTTTCCCCTCCGGATGCTTCCCTACCACAACAAACATAGGCAAAGGCCTAGGACTGTTAACTCTGTCTTTGTACCCTCCTTATTTAATCTGCATGATCGTCCTTTTACATTCAGACTTCCAATAAACTCTGCATTGTTTTCCCCCCTTTTATTTTATTTTGGTTAAGCTGGGCCATTCTGTTTGGTTTTTTTGGTTCTAGGAATTCTGTTTCGGTTTTTAATCACCTGGTACTAGTTTCACAGGGAGGAGCCATTTGGTTTCTTAGAGGGGTTTTTTTTTGTTTTTGTTTTTGTTCAGTTCACCTTTTCTCTGTTCTACTACTCTGTAAATTCCATCACGGTGGTCCCTCCAAACTGAAATTGGTGCTGACTGGATGACCTCCAGTAACCAAACTCGCCTTGTGGGTCCTTGCAGCTTGCATCAGATGCACACAGGGTTGAATCAGCAGCACAACCTTCTCAAAGATGCACAATCTGCTGGATGGGCTCCCCTTCCTGTCCCCTTCTTTTATCATTCCATTCCTGAAAGCACAAGAGGCCTACCAGACTGGGACCAAAGAAAGAGCAGTGGGGCAGAGGGTGCTCTGCTGTGGTCCTCACTTGCGCAGCAAAACCATCAAATGCCTCCAGAGCTAAAGATGTCTCCCAACTTTGCCCAAATACTGACCTGCTTGTGACTCCCCTTTCCTCTGCTCACCATGCAGAGAGAAAGGGGGGGGAGGGGGTAGATAACTTTCAACAGAGTGAAAATATAGCACTGTTAAATGTTCAGTCTTGGGGTGTCGCTTGATTTCCAAACAAGGAACCATCCACAAAGTGACCCAAATCAAGCAAAGATCTACTTCCACCCTGGTGCTATCAGCTGCCTTAATTGGTACAAAGTAGTGCTCTGATTTAGGTTAGATCTACTTTCCTATACAGGTGGAGATAGTTGGATTAGACGTATACAACTGCCACGCCCTTTTGCCTTTTGGTTCTAGAATGTGACTTCCCTTAGGTGAGTTTACGTGCATTTTCTACTGGGGTGGGGAGTCACAAAGCCCTCTCTGCAAATGAGAGCTAAGTTCACGACATGTTTCATGAGCTCCTCAACCTCCTTGGCCCTGATCAACAACTAGTTTTCCTGAAGGGCCAGTTTAAAAGCAAAGTTAGCAGTGCAAAGCCAGCATAAGCAGCAGTTGCCATGCTACCAATTCAGACACCAGTTTTAGAAGCCTGTGGCCTGGATAAAATAAGGGGGAAAGTCTGAATCTAGTTTCCATGGCATTTTTTTAGATAAGGTTTATATTCCATCACTTAGCCAGAAGCCAAATAATTGCTAGTTTCTCCATAACACAGGTCCTGGCTTTTTCAACTCAAGTATTGTAGGAGTTCGTTTCATAGTGCAGCAGAATATATACAGCACAAGGCAGGGAGCAGGATTTCAGCTCTCCTGATACAAACTAATAGGCTTTATGCAGTATTCACTTCCTATCTAGTGTTTAGTTTTACTAATAATGCTGATCTAACCATCAGCTCCTAACTCTTCTTATGATGCAAAAGCCACTAGGGTTTATTTTATGCTAAATGATTAACAACAGGATTCATGGATAGATACACTGTGCCAAATACCTCAAGGATCGTATCTGAAATCACTCAAGGTCCTACTTAGTCCCATGTGATTCTTAGCATTTATTTAATAGCATTTTTATCCTGCTCCTTAGCTTAAAGGGGGCTTCCAGGGCAACTTACAAAAATCAGTACTTAGACAGTCCATGCCCCCAGGCTTGCAACTGGAAGAGATGTAACACACAAGGAACAGGGGGTGGGGTGGAAGAGGAAAGTAGGCAAACTCAAGCACCAGTTCTTAAAGTTACAGTTCTTTTATAGCTACCAGCTAGGATGGGAAAGAGTTCCAGCAGCCTGATTGAGTGATGGCTAAAGGATGCCCAGAGGCAGCTGGTCTCCCAGGAGAGGTGATGGGATAGTCTTGTTTTGCTTCACTCCCTCTGCCCTGCAGCCTAATGGAGCTGCTGTCACTTGGAGACGCTTGAGTGAGACTTCCCATATTTTCAGTATTTCCACTGCAATCTTGAGGTCTAGAAATTGTGCTTTCTAAAAGTAAGAATGAACATTCTTAGGACTCTAGATTATGTGCCACGTCCTGCACTTGCTGAGTCATTGTACAGAATGTATATAATTTTAGTCCCCCTGCCCAATTTTTGCCAGAATGAGCCTCCTAAAGTCAAAGCTCATTTGTTTTCCTTGTGTAACTATTATGGAATCTTGCAACAAAATGTTGCAGTGTGGAGTGCTCATTCCCTCTCCCTTAGTTTTCAATTCTTCTCTCCCACAACGGTCAGCATTTGGTGCCCACTGAGCATCCTCATTCCTCAGTGGACATTTTCCCTCTCTTAAAATATTTTTTTGTACTTCAAACATTGGGGTTCCCTCCATCGTATGGGTGGATCCCTCTATCTGTTGCTTGAATTGTGGCATTTTGGCTACATAAGAATCCACACTAGGAGAATGGGTTTATTATCTGCATCTAGGATGTCATTAATGTATAGTCAGCCTGCAGTGAAGGTACAAGTGGCACAAGCAGCAGGTATGCTCTGACATGCTTGGCAAACAAGACAAAATGCCTTTGGGCCTAGCTGTGGCTGAATCAGGCTTGCAGGTTGTCCTGCCTCATCAGTACTGCCTGCTCCTTGGCTCAGCAGCTGAGAGCCAAAAGCAAACATAAGGAACCAGTGACTGCAGGAAGACTGGAGAGAGACAGACAGAGACAGAGAATGGACTAGAATGGTGCTTCCTCTCTCAAACTTTGCATTTGAGTTTGTTGCACAATTGCCAAAAAGATTGGCCAGCACCGTAGTAATTAATTACAAGTAGTGACGAAATTAAGTGCAGAACTTAATGGAAGATTTTGCAGCTCTTTTCTTTGAGCCAAAAGAACTAAATGACAAATTGCTTGGCATAAGGTAGGACTGTGTAATATACAAAAGCGACATTCCTGGCTTTCTGTTTCTTCATTGCAGACACTGTTCTTCTCACCCAACCCAAGTTTACACACACACATGTATACACACACACACACACACACACACACCTTCTTCTAGCAGCTGCCTCATATTGTGTTGTTTCAGCTGGGTTTTCATGGCGAACAAAACAACAGGGAGTAAGTGGTGGTGTTCTCAAATGTTGTACTGCACAACAAATTTAACAGGGGTTTTTCTGGGGTTAGTGTTAATTGTCTCTGCCATTATTGCAAACAGACTTTGATCTAGTCTCCTGACCTTTTCGAGGTCTCTCTGTCTCTTCTTTCAAGCAGAATGTATTTTACTGGTGTGGCCAAGGGAGTCTTCTAGGAGCTTGCCCATTTGCTGCTAAAATCTCTCCCCTCCCCAATCTGAACAGGGGACGGAAAAAGTAGCAAGGAGAAGTGGTTTGGTATAGACAAGCATTTATTCTCCAGTTGTATCTTCCTCAGTGACCTTATGCACAAGCAGGGGAAGGTGGGGGAGCCTTATGAGCAGTACAGAGCACTGTATGATCTTATCACAAGGATGGGTGGGTTTTCATCCAAGGCAAACAGGGTGCTCTGTTGGGGAAAGGCTCTTGTGCTTTTGAATTGAAGTTGTGCTGCTGTCACACTGTGCTGATCTGAGCAAAAAATGCAGCTTGAATGATGAGACTGGAGTTGCCCATGGTGCTGAAACTGCCTTAATTGTCACAATTTCAAGGAAGGGGAGCCCCTAGCCATGAACTGGCGGATCTTGCCACAGACCAAGCCTGTTGTGGCCTTCTAAACCCAGACCACATTTAATATCTCCTGCCTTCAGCACAAGAAGCCCAGGGAGAGAAGGTGGAGGTCACACTTAACCACTTCTTTGCTGAGCTTGTTTCTGGTCCCATCAGTCACAGTGCTTGCTGTTTGGAATGCCTTTAGGTGATCAGCTCGGTAAATAGTATGGCAGGCGTCTTTCATCCTAAGACACCTAGATGACATGAAGAAAACCACCCTTCTGCCCCTGCCTACTTACATACCACTACAGATGGTTAGTCCTCAACCAAGGGAGACTTTTGTTTGTTGGGTATAAGACTGGGCTAAGTGTTCTACTCACTTCAGAGTCAAATGGGTCTAGCTAGCCAAATGACTTCAGAAGATCACAGCCATGTTTACCTATTAGCAGGGTCCAGGGCCAAGGCAGTCACCTCTGTTAGAATCTAAATTTCTCTTTGAGAGATAGGAAAGAAGCCAGGAAAAGGACTATTTTGTTTCCAAATCAGGCCAGAACCGACCAAATTTGCATTACCAAACAGAAAGGTTACTGGCTTTGCCATCAAAGGAGGAGTCTCCAGGATCTTGGGTTTTAGACCAGAAGCCTCTTCTAACCCCCAAAACCGATTTGGAAGAAAATGGCTTCTTTTCCTCTCCCTCCCTCCAATGAGGGATGAGAGGCAATGGGAGAGAAGCAGTAAGAGTGATAGCTTGGCTACTCTCAATCCACCAGCTTCTGCCTAACATGAGGAGGTAGCTGAGCAGTAAGTGGCATTCAATCCCAGCTTCCTGCTCCCATTGCCTTTGCTGGGGCAAGCACCCTCCTCCACCCTCTGGCAAGGGATTTGCCCACCCCTCCTCATCTTAAAGGGAATAGCATCTCCCCCTTGCTCACAGTGGTGAGCACCCAGTTTCCTGCATCTGCAGAGCATCTGCAGAGCTAAGCAGCCCCACTTCATTTCCTCTCTGCAGTTGGGCAGTGGATATGGAAAGGCTCCCCCTCACACTTGGATGTTCATCCCTACCTTTAGCATCTTGCAGGTCCCTTCCTTACAGGCTCCCTGTTTCACACCTCCCATTTCTCTCTTGATGTGGTTTGGACATTCTCCCGTCCTATTGCACAGGGTTATAAATAGACATTCCACCACAACAGAGATCATGGATTTAAATCTACCTGGCCATCTTCAGCACTTGGCAAAAAGTCATTGGGAACCCCCAATCCAGGAAACTCAGACTAGTTACTACTGATCCAAGGATTTCAGATGCATCCAGGTTTGGGTCCTCACCACATTTGCTCTGGACATTCAGATGAAAAAAAATTACCATGTGCACAAGGCTCTGGGTCCCATTGTGATCCCTAGCAGGCATTCCAAAAGAACCTTCCTACCCAACCTTTTTGCAGATGGCACCAAGCACAACCCAGCCATTCAGCCTTTATCAATATCAGGAGTGTGCTATCACATTATGTAAAGCTTGAGAAAGATACCATTGTCAGCCGCATGGCAGCTGTAAGTTATGGGAATTGTATCCAGGGATCATGGCTTGGTGCAACTCCCACCCCCGCCCCCCGCCTTCCTTTTAATGGCCAGCTTGCAGGGCAACTCGACCATTCAAATATGTATGTATACATTTTCTCAAGGATAGATCCATGTTAACCGTACTGCAAGAGATTCCAGCCAATTGGCCTGTGCAGATCTAAGGTGCTTGTTTCTCTTTGTATAACTATATACATATGTACATACATATCCTGTTTAATGTAATTGAAACCTTGGAGCTGTCCGTTTGCTCTGGAACCCAGCAGGTGGTGTGATGGGCTTGGATGATGGGAGAAGGTGAATGCTGGCTGGTTTAAGGCAAGCAATTCTACTGAAAATTTCAATTGCATGGGAATAGTCCTGTATAAACAAGCTGTCACCGTCAATTGCATAGGTGCTATGTATGTCCTCAGATTATATAAATTAGTTTTTAATTCAGGTTTAAATTTTATGTAGAAAAGGCACAGAGCAGCCTAGAGAAAGAACAATAGCCTCAGCTTGATTAGTTCAGCCATATAGCAGACAATGCAGCATTCTTTAGCCTCTTTCTCAAACTTCTTTTCAGTGTTTAAAAAGTCCTTGGTGTGTCACTTCCCAAGCCTTCTTTATTTGACTCATCCATACCAGGTCTTTGCAAACCTCTCCTTGCTGAAGTTCCCATTACAAATGTCCTTCTTGCCTTGGACTTGTGTTCTGCCAACAATGACAGAGGAGACTTGATCTCAATCTCTCTCTGGAGTCCCTTTAGCAAGTTGCTAATACTGAACTCTGCATTATGTATAATCCCAGTTTTTTCCAGGCACTTTAGTCAGAGCTATTTCCTTTGCATTATTAATGTCTATAGTCATACTAGAAAACTTAACTTGAAAGACATTCACCTAATGAACAGAAAAGGGGAGCAGGGAAAGGAGCCCCCAGAAGGATAAATGGGGGATTTCTTGTATTGCAGTACTATTCATATGCAATACTAAATACACAGAAATTCTGTAAGAGCTGCAGCTGAAATAATTCTCAATTCATGAACCTCTTTCATTTTAGTACTTAATTGCAGAGTTTACCTTTCCCCCTAAATAGTGGTAATTTGTTGCTGACCAGTTGTAGTAAGGATCAGGACCTTGGCCTGTGGGTGTCTGCCTACATGCTGCCACTTTCTCTGGAAAACATGAAGGACCATCATAACCTGGCATGCATTGCAGTTGTAGCTGTTAACAAGAGTTTCCAAGCAGAACCCAGCTGCACTTTGTCAAGGACCACAGTAACTAGCAAAGAGTGGTTTCCATTTCTTCCATGCACTGAAGTGTCTATTCCTGCATGTCCCCTCTTTTATACTCCTGCCCTCATTGAGTTAACACATCACTCTGGTCTAACCAAAGTTACAAAGAGACCTGCCAATGTAAGTTCATAAATCATTTAAGACCGAGCCACTAGCAATCTGGCCCCCAAATCTCAGCAATTCAGAGGTACCTTTGCAACCTGATTTTGTGCATGCTTACTCAGATGCAAGTCCCACTGAGTTAAATGTGACTTACGCTGAAGTAAGTGTGCCATAAAGAGCTAACAGAATTTGCATTAAGCCAGCCAGAGGTAGGACGACGTGCACAGCCTGGTCGGTTTCTCTGTCCTCTGTCCAGTCAGGATCAGCCTTGTCTTCATGTTTTGGTGCTCTCTCTCTCTCTCTCCCTCCTCCTTTCCCACGCTGTTCCTCTTCCTCCTTGCTGGGTTTTCTTGAAACTGCAATTTTCTCGCTGAGCACCCAACCCCTCAAACACCCTGTTGTATTGGGGCTATTTTGCACAGTGATGTACAAAATGCCAGGCCTCGTGTCGGCTTTGGCACAAAAGTTCCTCATTTGCCTTTTTTCTTTGGTTGTTTTGCTCTTGTAGGATAAGAATATACTGTAAATAACCTGTAACTGAATGGCCTGAATGAATCTGGGGGACCAGCCATGGGGGCTGGGCCCTGTGTCTGTGAAGCGTCATGCTGGAGTTTTTTTTTCTTTTTTGTACTACGTGTGAGTAACTGTGCTGTGCTGACTCATTTCTGATTGTATGATGTACACCTCCCAGCAGTTGCAATGGGCCAGTAGGACAGGGTGGGAACAAAATGCCTTCTAATAATAGGAGTTGGCCTCCCTCATCTCTCTTGCTGCTCGCTCTGCATTTGCTCAATACTTTTCACAAAGTTGCAGAGTCCAATCAAGTAAGGCTGTCACAATAAGATTAGACAGCTCAGTGTTTTCTTCTTAGCCACTCTCTCTCTTTGTACTGGTGCTATCGTAACAGTGTTTGCAGAGCAGAAGAGCACTGCCAATCAGTTATAGTTGAGCAGGGTGAAGTGGTAGGTCTTGATCCCTATAAGCAGGCTAGGATATTGAGTGGGAGGTCCTGCTGGAATCAGGTTAATTCACAATGAATTGGGGATGGACACTAAATATCCAGGACTTTCCCACCCCCATTTAGTTCTTGCTTTCTGCTTTTGTATGTTTTGGCTTATGCTCTGTGAAACCTTCAGAGACTGGGTGGTTTAGTTTATCACATTGAATTGTTAATAACACTAAGTACATTGCAGGATGTTGTTAGGTAGAGGATAGGAACGCCACAACTTTGCACATTTTAAGTATATGACGATTTGAAATAACCCTGTTGAGTTTGAACTTTTGTTTAAAATGAAAAAAATAACTTTGTACATGCTTCAGATGGCTAAAACATGACCAGTCATTGCTCCTAGTAGGGCAAGGCAGCCATCTTAAATTCACCTCTTATCTGTCTCCTACCCTGCCTATGAGCCAAATCATTAATTAAACCTACACTTTTATGTATTGAGTTCAACCCATTATTATATTTTTCTTCCCAGAGGTATCAGATGTGTTACAGTGCAACTTGATGCATATTTACTCAGAAGTAACTGCTGCTGCATTTGGGCATGGGAGAAGAGCTTGAGTCCCAGAAAGTACGTTTAGGATTAAGGATAATCTTATGAGCAGTTCCACATGAGGCTGTATCCTGGAAAAATTTCCAAATTAGGCAAATTGTGACCTGGTCACAATTCCTAAGACCAGTCTGTCATTCCAAAATGAAGTCAAAAACATAAATTTTTTGAACCAGATCATTTCTATCCAAAAAGAGGTTTTAAGCCAGTTGTTTTGGAAGCATTTTTGTAGCCAGAAATCTTTGTTTCTCTTCATGCTGAAATGTCTTTTTGATGGTTCTAGGCAAAATGCACATGACTCTGCAACACATATTCCATTCACACAGCTCACAAAGTATCTCCAAGCTTTGAGCATCTCATGACTTCCACCATGATGAACGCTGCTCTGTAATGTGGAAGGCAGAAGGGTGGGCTTTCACTGGGGTAAATAGGACCTTATTTCCATTATTGCTATTACAAATGCAGACAGGCCCATTGGTTGCAAGTCCCAGAGAGCAGATTTTAAAAATTTATTAAAGTGCCTGCTTTTTTGAAAAGATGCAGTTTTAGAATATTAACAGGCTGCCCCAAAAATATTGTTCATCTTTAAGGTGCCACAAGCTTCTCTCCCCCGCCCCCCCAAAAAACAGACAAACAAGGCTACCCTTCTGGAAATAGTTACAAAAACATTGTAAACAATATTGTCAACCAAAATCCTGCCAGAAAAGGTGTGTCTTACACTCTGTCAGAAACCTTTTCTTTCAGGAATGAAATTCAAAGAATAAGAGGAGGGGAAACTGCTGTGAAGGCCTGACTTGTGACTCATCGTCCAAATCTCATGCAGAGGTGGCCCAGACAGTAATGTCTGCTGCATAGAAATCAGCACCCGCCCGGCTTAAACAGAGCGAGAGACTGCATTCACATTTAACTTTTAAAACCAGCACCTTGAATTGGGTCTGGAAGCAAATTGGCAAGCAGTGCAGCCTCCCAACACCCATTAGGAGATCTGCCACAGGAATCCGCACCAATTGAAGCTTCTGCGTCATCTTCAAGGGCAACCCAACATAGAGCGGCATTGCTGTAATAAACCAAGTTGCAGAAGCATGGATCAGCGCGGCAAGGTGTGACATGTCCAGAAAATGAAAATGTTTATTCTGAGCCAAAGATGGGGGGGGGGGGATAACTCTGACCTGCTTCTCAAGAAGCGGTTCTGGCTTCAGGAGTACCCTCCAGGCTTTTACCTGCTCAGATAGGGTTATAGAGATCCTACAGCCATTTTCCCTTCCCTGTCCACCTTGCCTCTGGCTTGTCAATTGTAACCTGTTATCCACTATTCCCTTTACTGCACTTTCCAAACTCAAAAGTGTAGTGTTTGAGCAACAACAAGCCCATAAAGGAGGGGGCCTTATAAGACTCCTCTCTGCAAGTTTATTATGTGATCTTTGTGATCATTGGCTTATGGCTAAGGCTGCAACGGGTGCACATACATCACTTTCAGTTAGTGGAATTTACTTCTGAGTAAATGTCATTGCAGTGCAAGTATGTTTGTAGTAGAAAACACAATATGGCACAAACAGAACTCAAACATTTAAGTGGATATCCAAAATGGAGAGGAGAATGGAACCAGGGAGGAGGTAGTGGTGGTGGTTATAGGGAGAAAGAATCAGCATCAGCCTATCAACTTATCTCTGGTAAGTGTATTAACATGGTGGCATAGGCCTTAGATTCGTTCCTTAGTTGAGTGAGCTGGCCAACCAACATACAAAAAAACATGTGCCCTCTAAACACTACTTGCCCCACAAAATGAAAACAAGCTGAGGAATGATTTTATTCTGATTAGAAATTATAACTGAGAGTGCTTCCAGCTGGGGATTTGGCATTGTGACCAAGTCATACATACATTCCAAATGGGTTGCTCACAACAGGTTATTATAACTTACTAGATTTCCACTGGGAAGGGTAAATCTGGATTAAAGGGTGTGTGTGAAATAAGGACAGAAATATAGAGGCTAGTGAGTCATGGATGCTGCAGAAAATACCCATGCATGAGGAGCACCCATCCCACAATAATCACCCATCTGGAAGAACCCTGAAGCTAGCACTGTAAATGACTGAAGGCAAGAACAATTCCTTGGTAAATCTGAAAAGATTAAAAGGAAGCGTGCAGGAGCTGGAGCCCGTGGCTGTTGCCAAAAACCAGGGGTTGTCTCTAATGGATTTCAGCTGGTCATAAACATACGAAGTTGCCTTGGTCCATCTGCCCTAGTGCAGTTTACTCTGACTGTCAGCAGATTTCCAGGTTTCGCATGGAGATCTTTCTCTGTGCCCAGAATGGAAGCTGACATTCTGCTACCTGAGCTGTGGCACTTGTTCTCTGCTACAGGACCTTGTGGTTTCAAATGCAAAGAAACCCAGCTTCCCGCATTCTACCCGCCCCCCTTTGCAGTCTAGCATCCAGATAGAAGCAAGTCTTTTACTGGGCAAAAGCAGAGGAGACCCAGCAGCAGCTCTGAGAGTAAATTGCACAAAGAACAATGGGATGGATACCAAAAACCAAGGGTTGGAGTGGATGTCCTGCATGCTACTCAGCAGCAAATGAAGAGGGAGAGGGAAGAGGCCAGACTTAATGCTATTCCAGCTTCAACCTTATGTTGCAAAAAACGAAATAAAAATGGGGAAATTGGGAATTTCATCCATCTGATCATGAAACTCCAAAGGGCAAAGCTGGGTGGTCCCTAGTGGCTCCTTCCCAGGGGCGTTGGTGCTAAGAAGCTGGGGGTTTCAGTCCCATGGAAAGCTAGAAGGAGGTTGCTGGAACACTGATAATTGCACTAATTCATCAATCCATCGGCAAACGTAGCATCCCTTCCCCATCGTCCCTGCCAAAGACGTGTCACCCTTCTGCTTTTGCCAAGTCTCGAAGGTCTTGGCTCGGGGTGAAGCTGGGATAGCACCAAAGTCTAGGGTCTCCTTGGCTCATAAGCTACTGCTGACTGGTGGCCCAAACCTTACAATTTTAGCTTTTTTCTAATTAAAAATGCATTTTTTAAAAAAATTAAAAAGTGAAAGAATTCCTGTTTTAGAAGAGCTGTGTACTTGACGGATTCTGTGTTTCTTAAATGCATGGTGTTCCTTCCAGGGGGTTTTATAGCACTTTTTAAATTTCTCGGAAGATTTTTTGGTCCCAGTTTCTATGCTACCTTCTTTCTCTTTCTCTTTCTGTCTCTCGCCTTTTGTTTTGGTCTCTTTCTTTTGCGGAAACAGTTCTTTGTAAACCTGCAATCTGTTTTATACCTGATGTAGACAAAATTGAAATCAAAAATTCCAGATGTTGTACATAGCTGCGGAAACAATCACGGGGAACAACTGCCATCTGGACTGTTTCCAACATAGACCATTTGTACTTGTGGTTTTAAAAAAAGAAAAGAAGCCAGGAAAAGGCTTTAAAAGCAAAATAAAAATTAAAAATAAATTTATTAAAAATCATCAACAAAGTAAAGTAACAGCCCTCTTCACCAACTCATCTGTCTCTACTAAGCTGCTCATTCCATGCAGCATGTTCCTTCTGGGTCTGTCAGTCTGTCATAACACCATTTGAAGTTTAAATAAAGTGATCTCCTGTGTTGCCTGAATGTTGATCCTCTCTGTTTGGAAGAATGCTGACAAGAACCAGAGTCCTCTCCCTTTGATCAACACGATGGAATCAAGTGGCACAAGGGATCTCGGGGTGCTGCCCACCTGGGCTTGTACCATTTCAAAATGGGGGGGGCGGGGGGCGGTATATGCATAATGGCTCCCTACCATCAGAAGCTACATGCACATAGGTAAGTAGCACAGCCAGGAGAAGATAAGACTAGAAACTGAGACACTAGTTTTCCATGGAGATTTATGGAAAGCATTCAGCACCATAGTTTCCCATCTTGTATTTGGAAGTGGTACAATTCAAGGACAACCTGGTTCTTTTAAACCTGGAGCTAATTTCTGGTTCCCTTGCTAGTTGTGGTTGCCTAGGGGCTGATTGTGTGTGGCTATGTGTCTGTCTTCATCCCATTACCTTCTGTCCTGTAATCCAAATGGTTTAACTAGGTAACTCAGTGCTTTAGTGAAGCAAAAATGGCACTAGGGGAAAATGCAGTTCTCAGACTTGTTTCAGAACAACCATGGCGACATCTGCTGGAGGACCAGCATAATCGGCAGACCCTCCTTGCCTCAGGCAAGTGAATCGAGTGATAATGAGGCTGTTAATTTTTTCTACTATGTTTTAACAGATTAGCATGGAGCTGGGGTTCAGAATCACTAGCCCTTCAGATGTTGCTGGAGTGCAGTTCCTCTTCTCTGTGACCATTGACCATGCTAGTTGGGGCTGATGAGAGGTAGAATCCAACAGCAGTTGGATTCAGGGGTGGGTTCCTCCACCCCTAGCATAGGGAAAGAATTAGAAAAAATTGAGGAGGCTGGATACGTCTTCGTCTTTTGTTTGATGTAGTTCCTACTTCACACCAACACTTCTTTTGCAAGTTTGCATTTCAAATTAAACCTAAAGCTTTCATTTCAGCTGGCTGGAGGTTTTGTTGTTGTTTTGTTAAAGCTCAATAGGTTGGTTTACAAATTGAATCTGTGCTCTCAGAAGCAAGCACCTCTGAGTTCAGTGGAGCTTACTCCCAGGTAACTATGATTGTAAACATGCTACATGACTAACATAAACAGGTCTTCCCAATCATACTCAAACATGCTAACCACTACACCACACCTTTTTATCATATATAATATAAAGTGGCAAGTGGGGTGCAACACGGTTATGTATTGGACCCATTGTTCAACATGTTTATAAATGACTTGGATAGTGGAATGAAGGGATGCTCAACATATCTGCAGACGACACCAAACATGGAGGGGTAGATAAGGCCACAGAATTGGTAATCAATATGGCCTTAACAGGTTGGAGAGCTGGGCCAAAACTAACAGAGTGAATGTAAGGTTCTACACTTAGGCAGGAAGAACCACTTGCACCAATGGGGGACATTTGGCTTGCCAGTAGTACATGGGAAAAGGATCTAGGGGTCTTAGTAGACCACAAGCTTAACATGAGTCAACAGTGTGATGCAGCAGCAAAAAAGGTCAATGATCTTCCTGGCTGCATCAACAGAAGTATAGTGTCCTGATCAAGGGAAGTCATAATACCACTCTATTCTGCCTTGGTCAGACTACACCTGGAGTCCTGTGTCGAATTCTGGGCACCACAGTTTAAGAAGGATATTGACAAGCTGGAACATGTGCAGAGGAGAGTGACCAAGAGTCTGGAAACAAAGCCATATGAAGAATGTTTGAGGGAATTGGGTATGTTAAACCTGGATAAGAAAAGGCTTAGAGGAGATATGATAGCCATCTTCAAAAATCTAAAGGGCTGTCACATAGAAGATGGAGCAAACTTGTTTTCTCCTGCTCCAGAGGGTAGGACCTAAACCAATGGATTCAAGTTACACACAAAAAAGATACTGACTGACTTTCTGACAGAGCCGTTTGACAAAAGTGGAATGGACTCACTTGGAAGGTGGTGGACCCTTTCTAAGCTTACTTTGTTTCCTGTGAAACAAACCACTGCCCAGACCAGCACCAAACCTATCAGATGAATGTTGGTTAAAAGACTCTCATCACTGTAGCCTGCCTCTTCACATTGACTAGGATGTGGGTGATTGATTAGTCTCCATTATCGGACCATTTAGTGCATTTTGGTGTGTATTGTTCTGAGTGATTGGGTCTATTCACTGAAGAAAGTGTGTCAGCTCCGCACCAGCTCTTTATTTCCTGCTCATTGGTCGCTTTGCTTGTTAGCACAACCTCATGACATCTGACAGGACTCATCAATGACAGCATTGATTCCAAGGAAAGCCGTTTGCCAATGGGGAGAGTCTAACCCAATAGCAGAATTTGGCTGGAGCTTAGGATGTGATGGTTGCTAGAGGAATATTTTATCAAACAATTGCTTGCTGGCTGCCAAAAAAACCAGTGGGGAGTAAGGGATCCTCAAGGTCACTACACTTAAACGGATGTCGGTACAGATGCAGAGGTAGAACAAAATTGCAGTTCCACTGATTGTTGACATCATTGATGACTGAGCTGATTTTAAGGTACCACAGACAAAAGTTGAGATGTATCATCACCATTATCTTGGGGTGGTGGGGGGCCTGTTTTGATGAGACCACTGCAATCTTATTGGGAAGTTCTGTTGAATACAATGCATTGCACAGGTAGACATCTCTGAGAGTGATGGCATCTACCTTGTGGAATGATTTCCCCACAGAAGTAACAATGTTGGATGGCTTCCACTGGAAGTTAAAAATACACTTGTTTATCCATTTCTTTTCCTCATCTCCCCCAGTATTTCCTTTATATTCCCCAGCTGAATCGGTTTTGAAAATTGGATTTTTTAATTATTATTATTATGAGCATTAGGTTTTATATGCCAGTCGCTTTGATAATCACCAGAGAAGTTAAAAGTGGTATATATACATATTGGACAACCTAGGGTTGAGAGCCAGTGTGGTGTGGTTAAGAGTGGTGGAATCGTAATCTGGTGAACCGGGTTTGCTTCCCCACTCCTCCACATGCAGCTGCCACCTTGGGCTAGTCACACTTCTCTGAAGTCTCTCAGCCCCACTCACCTCACAGAGTGTTTGTTGTGGGGGAGGAAGGGAAAGGAGAATGTTAGCCACTTTGAGACTCCTTCGGGTAGTGATAAAGCGGGATATCAAATCCAAACTCTTATAGGGAAAGTTTTGTGGTTGTTCTTCTGCTATGTACACCTGATATGTCTCACCCACCACACAAATATAATTGTCATAACTCCTATGAAACTGGGTCAGTTGCAATTTAGGGCTGTGCATTCATTTCACAACAAATGAGACACCAAACCAGATGGAACCATTTAGTGCAATTTCATTAATTACAGAAGGAGCGGCGGGAATAATCGGTGGGTATGAATAGGGTTCTTGTTACTCCACTGGTACCTGTTCATCATCCTTTCAATGGTGGGGGGGTGGGGGCTGCTTCTTTTGTTTAGGGCCAGCAGAGCCGCTTCCAGCGCCTCCTTCAGGCAGCTGCACCAATGACAACAAAATGTAAAAGAAACAAAAAAAGACACAATGCCTGTAAGAAATGAATAACGAAAGTAATGAGATGATTAACAAGAGCAAGAGGGAACTGGAAGTGGGGAAAGATCGACATCTCTATCATAAACTGCACTGCAGCCCAACACATGTTTGTTTGGAAGGAAGTTTCATTGTGTGCAATGCACCTTGCTCCCATGAGCTGTGTTAAGGATTGCAGCCTCAGACACAGCAGAATATAGCCATTCTGATTTTATTCCAGCAGGATATATGTGTGATAAAATCATAGAACCAAAGAGTTGAAAGGGACCACCAGGGTCATCTAGTCTAACCCCCTGCAAATGCAGGAATCTTTCACCCAACCTGGGTCTCGAACCCAAGACCTTCTCTACCAACTGAGCTATCTCAGGTGATGTTACAAGAGAGCCATAGCCATGTTAGGCTTATTAGAGTTCACCAAAGGAATGGTACTGCTACAAGTCTTTCCACATTCTGAATTCCAGATAAGCTACTTGGGAAGAAGAAGAAGAAGAGTTTGGATTTGATATCCCGCTTTATCACTACCTGAAGGAGTCTCAAAGCGGCTAACAATCTCCTTTCCCTTCCTCCCCCACAACAAACACTCTGTGAGGTGAGTGAGGCTGAGAGACTTCAAAGAAGTGTGACTAGCCCAAGGTCACCCAGCAGCTGCATGTGGAGGAGCGGGGAATCGAACCCAGTTCACCAGATTACAAGTCTACCGCTCTGAACCACTACACCACACTGGCTCTCACTGGGAGTATTTTAAGAACTAGTGAGGAGTGTCAGGGCCCTTTGATGGGGACTTTTCTTTTCTCATCTGCCCCCGTTAACTGAAAATACACATTGGCATTCCAAGCACATTGATAATAGGGCAAAAATAATTAGGGCTCTTTGTTCACTTTGGGCAAAGCATGAATCCAAACCAAAGAGGCTCATTTCAGAGATGTTTGGGCCACTTTGGAATCTGCAGCAACTGAGGCCCCAAACTATCTGAACCAAAGTGGGCAAGACTCCAAAGAACTGCTTTGAAGCACTGAAAAGGTATGTACATTCTGAAGCCTATTGGATGCATTTTTGAAAACTTCCCCAGCCTCTGAATTCTACAATGCAGTTCTCCAGTGAGTAACCTGTACCTTAAGGTTGTGTGCATAAAATTGAAATATTAGTGAAACTAATATTTTAAATGCGTTATATTAGGGGAAACTGCTTTGCAAAAGTATATGCATTAGAAGAAGTTGCATAAAAGTAAGACTTATTGGGAGAAATGCTAACAATACTGAAATACTGCTAACTTTTCATGAGGACCTTTTCTTTCAAAAAGAATTGCAAACTGATGTGGCCATGTGGAAGCTGGAGTAATGAGAAACTGAAATGGACTGTTTTGCACATCCTGAGGCTCAGGAGTTCTAAGCGCCTTAGAACCGACTCTCCTTCTTTCTTCTTACTCACCTGCATTTCATGTCAGAGCATTTTCATTTCTGCAAATAAATAAACAGAAGTTGCAACACACACACACACAATATGATTTAGCCTGTTTGTGGTTTTCTTAATGCAGAATCTGGGTTTGTTGACGTTGGGTGGAATTCAAGTTTGTGCTCTTCCAACCAATGTATCGGTGGAAGCATCCCAGCTTCCCAGATGGAGCAGTATCCCCTCCCCCAAACATTGTTCTGGGGTTTTCTTCTGACACCAACACCCTGAGCCAATTTTTGAGGCTGCAGGGCATGTGGAGAATTTCCCATTGCACAAGCAGAATTATTTGTGCTGGGCTTCCACTGACGGAACTGCTCACAGCACACCAATTCACACTTTATGCGGCA